GCCTCTACTTTTTTCTTTTTAGATGAAGTTTCACTCTGTCACCCAGGCTGGAGTGCAGTGGTGCGATCTCAGCTCACTAAGATCACCTGAACCTCCACCTCCCAGGTTCAGGTGATTCTCCTGCCTCAGCCTCCCTAGTAGCTGGGGATCCAGGTGCCTGCCACCACGCCCAACTAATTTTTGTATTTTGTAGTAGAGATGGGTTTCACCACGTTGGCCAGTCTGGTCTCGAACTCCTGATCTCAGATGATCTGCCTGCCTCAACCTCCCAAAGTGCTGGGATTACAGGCGTGAGCCACCACGCCTGGCGCAGCTTTACATATTTATTCATCTGGGTTGCCACCATTCAGATCAAGATAGGAGCATTTTCAACACCCTAGAAGGTTCTCTTGTGCCCCTTTCCAGTCATTGCCAAGCCTTCATACCGCCAGGTCACCACTATCCTGGTTCTCATGCCCTTGTGAGGTCTGTCTGGCATAGATGTTTTATTCTTTTACTTGTTTTATTTTCCCCCTCCCGCCTTCGCCCCAGTCATCCTGCTACTACCCTTTCTTTGATACAAACACCTGCCTTTTCATTTTTTGATAGATTGTTCCATTCTGCATCTTTTGTGTTTTTTTTTGGTGGGGTGGGGGTGCGGTTTGAGACAGGGTGTTGCTCTGTTGCCCAGGCTGGAGTATGGAGGCACAAATACAGTTCACTGCAGCCTCAACCTCCTGGGCTCAAGCCCTGTACCTGTAGCTAGGACTACAAGTACATGCCACCATGTCTGGCTAATTTCTTTAATTTGGTGTAGAGCCTCCCAAAGTGCTGGGATTATAGTTATAAGCCACCAAGCCCAGCCTTTTTTTTTTTTCATTTGACAGCATGTCTTGGAAATGCTTGTGTGTGTGTGTAATATTTCGTGGCATGTCAGTTCCATCATTTATCCCACCCTGGTTGAGGGACATGAAGGTGTTTATATTTGGGCCAGACTTCAAGCCTATGACACTCTGATTTGGAGCCCAGCTGAGGAACCAGACCCAGAGAGAAGCAAGGGCTTGCCTGGGCCTCACAGAACAGAGGTGGCAGCAGACTCTGTCCTGAGGGCCAGGGCTCCTGGCCAGAGGGGCCAAGTGCTGCTAACCGTACCCTCCCTGGTGCCTCCCCACAGGGGCAGCCACACCACAGTGGGCGTCAGCGGGCGGCTTGAGGGGTTGACCGAGGACCTCCGGCAGCTGCAGGAGAGCGAGCAGCAGCTGGACCACCTGATGAATATCTGTACTACGCAGCTGCGCCTGCTCTCCGAGGATACTGACAGCCAGCGATATCCTTGGATTGGCCGTAGGGTGTGGAAGGCAGGCTTAGCAGGCAGGGGCTCCACCCAAGTGGGACTAGAGAGGCTTGGATTCAGGAGAGGGCTCTGGTTGTTTTGGTTGCAAGTCCTGGCTCAGCATTTTCTCACTGTTGTGACGCTGGATAAATTGCTTAACCTCTCTGGGCCTCAGTGTTATTTATAAAAGTGAAATAATAATATCCAATTCTGAAATTGTACGGATTAAAAAAGAAAAGTGGCTAGGTGCAGTGGCTCATGCCTGTAATCCTAGTGCTTCAGAAGGCTGAGGTGGGAGGATCACTTGAGCCCAGGAGTTTGAGGCTGCAGTGAGCTCTGGTTGAGCTACATCACTCCAGCCTCGGTGACATAGCGAGACCCTGCCTCTAAAAAAATGAATTCCCAGCACCAGGCCTGGAGTTGTGTTGAACATTTTACATGGAATCGTTCCCGGTAGCTATTATCATTACCTTGGGATTCAATGGGTAGAGTGATTCCATTATATAGATGTGGAACTTGAAACTCAGGAATGAGGTAGGTTTTGAGCGGGTAGGAGGTTGGGAGGACAGGAGTGACTAGGCAGGTGTGAGCCCTGCCTTGTAAGCTGTTGGAGTGAGTGACCCCCTAGAAGTCAAAGGTCATGTGGTCCTTGACTCTGCCAACCCTGGCCTATGTGACGTGTCAGGACCTTCGTAGCATTGCAGACCCTGCAGAGCAGATGGTTATGGTGATCAAAGCCCCTCCCGAGACCCAGCTCCAAGCCGTGGACTCTTCGGAGGTGAGATCTGGGAACTCCAGGCCCAACTGGGCTGGGCTGGGTTGCGCTGATAGTCACCTGGGCCTCAGTTTACCCTGCCTGCTGCTTCCGCCCAGACCTTTCAGATCTCCCTTAAGAGCAAACAAGGCCCCATCGATGTTTTCCTGTGCCCTGAGGAGACCGTGGGTGGGATCAGCCCTGGGAAGACCCCGTCCCAGGAGGCCACTTCTGAGGAGGAGAACAGGGCCACTGACTCTGCCACCATAGTGTCACCACCACCATCATCTCCCCCCTCATCCCTCACCACAGATCCCAGCCAGTCTCTACTCAGCCTGGAGCAAGGTGGGTGATGGGTAGGTGGGTGGGGTGGGGCAGGGCCCCTCTTCTGGGGGTGGGCAGGCACGACAGCCCCTGCCTTCCTTCCTGCTGGGGCATCCCCGGCCTGTGATGCTCCCCGTCTCTCCAGAACCGCTGTTGTCCCGGATGGGCAGCCTGCGGGCTCCCGTGGACGAGGACCGCCTGTCCCCGCTGGTGGCGGCCGACTCGCTCCTGGAGCATGTGCGGGAGGACTTCTCCGGCCTCCTCCCTGAGGAGTTCATCAGCCTTTCCCCACCCCACGAGGCCCTCGACTACCACTTCGGCCTCGAGGAGGGCGAGGGCATCAGAGACCTCTTCGACTGTGACTTTGGGGACCTCACCCCTCTGGATTTCTGACAGGGCTTGGAGGGACCAGGGTTTCCAGAGATGCTCACCTTGTCTCTGCAGCCCTGGAGCCCCCTGTCCCTGGCCATCCTCCCAGCCTGATTGGAAACATTTAATTTATACCCCTCTCTCCTATCTCCAGAAGCTTCTAGCTCTGGGGTCTGGCTACCGCTAGGAGGCTGAGCAAGCCAGGAAGGGAAGGAGTCTGTGTTTGTGGTGTGTATGTGCATGCAGCCTACACCCACACGTGTGTACCCGGGGTGAATGTGTGTGAGCATGTGTGTGTGCATGTACCGGGGAATGAAGGTGAACATACACCTGTGTGTGCACTGCAGACACGCCCCAGTGTGTCCACATGTGTGTGCATGAGTCCATGTGTGCGCGTGGGGGGGCTCTAACTGCACTTTCGGCCCTTTTGCTCTGGGGGTCCCACAAGGCCCAGGGCAGTGCCTGCTCCCAGAATCTGGTGCTCTGACCAGGCCAGGTGGGGAGGCTTTGGCTGGCTGGGCTTGTAGGACGGCGAGAGCACTTCTGTCTTAAAGGTTTTTTTCTGATTGAAGCTTTAATGGAGCGTTATTTATTTATCGAGGCCTCTTTGGCAAGCCTGGGGAATCAGCAAAGGGGAGGAGGGGTGTGGGGTTGATACCCCAACTCCCTCTACCCTTGAGCAAGGACAGGGGTCCCTGAGCTGTTCTGCCCCACACCGAAGGAGCTGAGGCCTAGGTGATTTATTTATTGGGAAAGTGAGGGAGGGAGACAGACTGACTGACAGCCATGGGTGGACGGATGGTGGGGTGGGGCCTCTCCAGGGGGCCAGTTCAGGGCCCCAGCTGCCCCCCAGGATGGATATGAGATGGGAGAGGTGAGTGGGGGACCTTCACTGATGTGGTGGGCAGGAGGGGTGGTGAAGGCCTCCCCCAGCCCAGACCCTGTGGTCCCTCCTGCGGTGTCTGAAGCGCCTGCCTCCCCACTGCTCTGCCCCACCCTCCAATCTGCACTTTGATTTGCTTCCTAACAGCTCTGTTCCCTCCTGCTTTGGTTTTAATAAATATTTTGATGACGTTTGGGTTGGGTTTTGGGACTCTGTTGGGAACAGTTCGGGGCGGGAGAGGCCAAGGTTGCTGGGGAAATGCCCATTCTCCGCTTCCCTTCTCTCCGTCCCTGCTCGATTTGATTTGAGTCTCAGAACTCGAAGAAAGGTCAGCTTCATCGCTCTTTTGGTCCTAACTCAAAAGCCGATCCAGTAAAGGTTTTTGTAGAAAGCCAAGAATGCTACTCAGTGCTGCCCGAAGTGCAGCGTAATGAGTGGCCTCTCCTTTTCCCAGCCCCAGAGGCCACTGTGCTGTTTGCTGTCTTCCTTCCAGACGTTTCTGGACATTAGTAAACATGCAACAAATGACAGTGGACTGGTTCTGTGTCAGGTATTTAGCAGTTCTGGGGACACGAGTGTTACCTCCCTTCTTGGTGCTCTCAGGGTCTGAAGGAGATCTACTTAAATGAGAAAATCAGGAAAGCCTTCCTGGAAGGCGTGCTTGAGTTCAGCGCTGTAGAATAGGTAGGAGTTAACCAGAGGAAGAAAAGCAAAGAACACGACGGGCAAAGGCCGTGGGCAGGAGGGAGAGGGATAGAGGACCGGAGAAAGTAGTGTGGCTGCGGTCCTGAGGTGAGGGTCAGAGTGGTGCTCCTGGAGCGGGGCGTTCAGTCTTAAGCTTTATTCGGGGGCCAAGGAGTCACTGGAGACCGAAGTGGTACCTCTTTCGCATCTTAAAAGCTCCCCCTGGCTGCTGTGTGGAGAACGGGTTGAAGGGAGGGCCAAAGCCACCGAGGGGAGGGGAAAGGGCCGCGCTGAGTGCCAGAAAGGGCGGGCGTCGGGATGCCTGGGAGTCGGCCACACGGACCTGTGGGCTTCCTCTGCGCCAGCCCCCGTTGTAAGCACTTGACACTGAATGAGTCCCAACAATCCCATAGGGTGTCTACCGGTACCATTTTTGCAAATGAGGATACAGACGCCCCGAAAGGTGAAGTCCTGGTGGGTTTTACCCACTCGTATCACCCTGACTCTTCGGCACTGGCTTGGTCACCCTGTCCCTCCGGGTGGGCGCGCAGCCCCTAGGTTCTGCTCCCGGCAGGCCGTCGCGGGACCCGAACCCTCGGGCACCTCCCACTCCGCCGTGGCCG